AAGGTTTGTTGGGAGGAAATATCCTAAATGTTTTATCAAAGAAATAACAGTGGTTTCTAATCTGTTGATGGAAGAGTACTACTACAGTAATATTACATGTACCAGTCTGTGTGTACTACTGGCTGAGTGTCTACCCTTTTTCTAGTTTTCTGGTAAGGACTCTTCTAATTATTTTTTAGGTCAGTGAAGCAGTAGCTGGATGGGAGTGTAGGGTCTTTGGCTGGTTTAGGTAATGCTGGCAGAGTTGACGTTTGGAATTGCTGTGTGATCACTCTGAATTTGAGTAATTGACCCTGTGCACGAGAAAATGCTAACTTCCTGGTTTGAGACTGTATGTGGGGTTGTACATTTCCGGTAGCTTTACTTTGCAGTCAATCACTACTGCGAAGATATCCTCCAAAATCATGTCCAAAACTCGAAAACGGAAAGATCGCGTTGAGTTGCAAAGAGAAGGTGGGAACACTCACCGCTGTTGTGTCATAAAAAATCTAATGATCAGTTTTGACATTTAAAGAGTTTAGATCGATCAGTTGTTTACATCACTCAACACAAGCAGAACTGCATTACTGCAGCAGAAGACACATCGTCCACACTCAGAAGCACATCTCTGTATAGTGACTGGTCTGATGATCTAAACAGGCAAATGTTCAGCATTCAAACTACAGGTGAAGAATAGTCAAACCAGATGTTTCCCCGTTATGTCGAGATCAGCTAGTCAAGTACACACCTACACAGCATGTTAACATGCTGTTAGCATGTTAAAAAACCCACACAAAAAATGAATGATTGCTGGTAACGGTTTCTATACGTTAGTATTTACGAAGGGTATGTTGTGACTGGGACAGCTGAGAAATATAACATTTGACTCCCTTTTTTCTTTTGCTCTGAGGCGCGGGGAAAAAATATCGACAAGTCGATGAACATCATTTACAGATATATTGGGTAAATGCCCGAGACATCTATAGAAATGTAAATCGCCGCTTGATTCATTCATTTGCTTAACTTGTTTTGGACTGTAAACAAGGTGCGAATAGGACACCGTAAACAAAGCTCCCCACAGGAGTTTCCGCACCGGAAGTAGCATATGCTAACGTGCACACAGTCAATTGTTCTGAAAAATAGCGGATGTTAGTGTTGGACACAATTCTTTACAAAAGTGCTGGAAAACCATCCGGACCTGGAACTTTATTAAAGCCAGGCCTGAAGATTGACGACAACAACTGAAGGAAAAAATATGAGAAGCAGAGGAGAAGCCTAAGTGGATGCAGAAAGTGAGTTTCTATTTTTATTTCATATTTTATGCAGAGTTGTAATACAGCTACGTCAGGTTGGAATGCGTTCAAATAAACTTGTTTTAAAGTAGTCTTGAAGTGAAGCAATGACTCAGAAGCACTGAGCTGTTGATTAAAAACAGGGAACTTCCTGCTTTCTTTTCTTTAAGAACATTTCCTTCTATCAAACCTTCCTGGATGTTTGTGATTCATTACAAGCTCATCAACACAAGTGTCACTGGAAACATGCACCGAAGACACCAGTGGATTTCAACCTACAAGTGTTACAGGTATTTCCACATCAGTATTCAACTTTCTGTCATATTTGTTCCAGCCTTACAGCAGCATCCTTGTTCCTTTTGGACTCTCATGATGGAGATAAGAGAGTGGTATTCAAAGATTAAAGATCTTACTTGGCTGAGCTGGCTGTTTACTCACAGGCTGATGTCCAACAGAGGCATCCAAAGCATCTCAGGGGAATATTTTCTTATTGAAAGGTGTGACAGCTTTACTTCCCGCTCAGTGATCTTGACACTATACCATTTTTTTCTGAATTCTTACTTAAATTTTCTGAACTAAAGTAAATTGTCAGAATAAATCAAACAGTAATTCCCACAACATGCAGTGCAGATAAAAAACATTTACTAAATGTTTTGTCTCATTATATTTTCTTATTTGAATGCAGAATCCATCGTTGAAGCTGCTGAGTGGATCCATTTTGGTTTTACTTTATACTTTTCTGCTTGTGTAGAGCTGTAAGATCACCACATGTCATTTTAAATGGTTGAACACCTCAAAACATTAAATTCAGGTCAATTCAGCTTTATTTATATTCCCCCAAAATCATACGAGTCAACTTAAAGTACTAGTCAACTGGCTCTTCTTACAATGTAAGTGAGCAGACTCATCATTTACATTTTTGCCAGACCATTTTCTACTAACATTTACATTTATAATAATAGATTACACAACGTTGGAGGATAAATTGCATTACAATGGTTGTCTTTCTGAAATTGCGAAGTCATTTAGAAGACTTTGGTTGGCATGGATAGTGCTATAAAAAAACCCTCTGTAAAGAAAGAACAATCCCTGACTCAGAGGTCTACTGAGCCAAGTATTCCGTTAGCTTTGACTATTACCGCTTTATGATTATGAATTTCTATCTTTAGACAGTAAATAATTTCTAACCACTTTATTGCTCTGATCTGAGACATGAAATTATAAATTCTGCCCTTCTTGGATCATCCTGGTCATTGTGTCCATCCTCATATGAGCCTGAGCTGCTGTTCAAAAACACACCTGCAGCCACGACTTTGAATTATTTCTTCAGGATCAGGTTGGGATCTTTCTGTCCAAGGATTGTGTTTCCACTGGCAGTCTTTCCACTCCCAGACATTCCCAGAAGAACAAGGTTCACTTTGATGCCAGTGTGCTTACTTGAATAACAAAAATTATGTTATACATATTATAATAGATGACAAGTTTAGGTGTAAGTTCAGATACATGAACACAGTTCTGAACAATGAGCGTTTAGTGAACTGTCTCTGAACATAAGGTGCTGTATGGATTATGATTTACTTGCTCCTCTCAGCTCAGTGTACGGTGTGTAAAAATGGGTAACAGGATCAGTGCACCTAAAGTACAAACAAAACCATATTTAGTTCTAGTGTTGAGGCAACCCTTCCCTTGTACACAATATTTACAACATACTGTAAAGCAGTGGTTCCCAAACTTTTTTTGCTGGGCCCCCCTTATGTTTTACAAGAAAAATGTTCACGCCCCCGCGCGCACGCGCGCACACGCACACACACACACACATCTTCCAACCACACATACCCATAATTTGCTCCATTGCGGTTTATTTCACACCTCAAACATTTAGTAAACAATTAAGCAAATACAAGTAATCTGCAATAAATTACAGGTAGTAATAAAATAAACTACTGACTCTTTTACGCTGCGTCCACACCTACACGGGTATTTTTGAAAACGCAGCTGTTTCGTCCATGTAAACGGCGTTTCGAATCACCGAAAACTGAGATTTTTTTAAAAATCCTTTTTTGCGTTTACATGTGGACGAGGAATACAGAGTTCGTCACACAACGTCAAAGGTATGTGCCTTTTTCCACGTCACGCTGTGCGCCACGTTATTGTTTACATGAGATGAATTGCAGATAGATAGAGACAAAATACTGTTAATCTGGCTATCTGCAGGTTTTACACGCTTACATACACATACATAACTGCAGGTAACAACTTTACATGTGGCAAATAAAGGATTGATTGATTGATTGATTGATTGATTGATTGATTGATTGATTGATTTTTTTTATCACAGTTCACTGAAGCTGATAATGAACCTGATGTTTCAGAATATAATAAACCATATTATGCATAGCTTAAGAAAATAATTTACATTTAATCTCTGGCTGGTAATGACTCCATGTGACCAGTGATTTTGTAACAAAATCACCCCAACATCAGGAAATAACATTAAAAACAGTCTTTCTATTATTAAAGGCAAACGTTAGTCCAGTCATAATTATAAAGAAGCAACGTCATGTAAAAATAAAACAATATGATTTTTCATGCTTTAATATATAAAAATATTTACCCAGAGTTACAACAATAAATGTTTTATTCTTTTTTATTCTTTTTTTTCTGTTGTGTTTAAAGCTACCTTCACTGTGTGAATCAGCTTGTCCAGTCAGTGGTTTATTTAAAAAAAAAGATGTAAAACTGCTTCAAGTAACCATATTTTAAAAATGCATTTCTTCTTGTTTAAATGATAATGTAGTAAATGGCATATAGAAGGCAATTATTTTATTACTATCTTCCAGTTCAATATACAGAATAACTTTCAGACTCTAAATTATTTTTTTTATAATTCAAGTATTTATTAGATTTTGCATTTTATAACAGCAAATACAAAGATGCAGCAACCGAAAGGAAGAAGCAAACAAACAAAAAAAACAAACAAACAAAAACCAACAACAACCCCCCCCCCCCCCCCCCCCCCCCAAAAAAAAAACAAACCGAAAAAAAAAACCCCAAACAAAACAAAAACAGTGAGGTTTTAACATATGTTGTATTAAGCTCAAATGTCCAAGTCAGGTAGACATGTAGGTGCAAAAACTGTCCCACTGTTTCACCGCAGCTTCCGTCACATGATGTATTTTTCCCAGCATCTTTTCGCACGCAACATTCCCAATCATTCTTTCTTTCCACATTTTAAGCGTTGCAGTATGGGAGTCCTTCCAGATTTCCAAAATGACACAGGCACATGTTACCAATGGAGTACTTAACACTCTAAACTGGTGTTTATTTAATTGCGGCACCTCTCTTTTGTCTCCTAGTAGACATAATTTAGGTGATCTGGGTAGGTTACGAAGTGTCCACCCCTGCAAATAATTCAGTACAGTGTTCCAAACTAGAAAAACCAGCGGACATTCCCAGAGGGCATGTATCAGAGTACCTTTGGCTTGTTGGCATTTCCAACACAAGTCATCTCTACCAATCCCCATTCTATACAGCCTTGAAGGAGTATAATCATATCTGTTAAGAATTTTGTATTGAATAAATTTTCCCCTGGCTTCCCTAATGTATAATCCATTGTTCGACAATATAGAATCCCAGTACTACCAGACTCTAAATTATTCATAGCTCTACAGAAAAAGGCCAAATGTCTAAGCACGTGATTTTAACTCATACATGAGGTAATGTTGTCTGTTATTCTAACAGCCCGGTCACTGTGTCAATCAGATTTTTCACTTGCTGTGAACTCGACTTTCTGTTCTCAAAGAGAACACACCTGTTTCCACACTGTTTAATAATTTCCCTCAGACCAGGATGGCCCTTATGCAAAAACTCCTCAAAGGTTATTTCTCCCTGCTGCAGGTCGTCTCCTCTGGTGAACAGTACCACTGTTTTTTCTTTAACTTTACTCCCAAAAGCTTTTTCTAATTTACCCACTATGTCTCTCTCACCATCTGTAAATCTGCTCACATGCATCACAACTAAATAGACACAAGGTTCTGACTTGCAGAGCTGTTTGCATTTTTTAACATGTTTGCTCTTAACTGATGATTTGATTTCATCATCAAAGATATCTGGAGTATCAATTACAAACAGGTGTAGGCCATTTCTCCTTGTTTCTGCCGCCTGGCACTCTGTGGTGATCGGCTTTGAACTCGGTTTAGAAATGAAGCTCTTCTTTCCAAGGATGGTGTTCCCACTGGCGCTCTTTCCACTCCCGGCCATGCCCAGAAGGACAACGTTCACTTTGGTCTCAGAGTGCTTTCCTGCATTGATGAATAACAAATCGAAAAAAGTACTTTTCAGAGTTTGTATGTATCCTTAAATTTCATATTCAGTAATAAGCACCAAAATTAAAATTATAGAGAAAGACATGACATAAATTACTCCATTTCAAATATTATAAAGTCATTTTTGCCCCAGTACTGTGTAATCACTTATAGCAGCCTTTATATTTAAACTAACATATATGCTTTCCTAGCTTGTTCTTCTTCAGCAAGTTTGTGTAGTTCACTGAAAACCTGCTGCATGATGCAAGAATTGAAGAGGAAGAAATCTATTGAATTACACCTACACCAATCAAAGACACAGGCCTGAAGACAAACTGCTGTATAAGTTTGTGTCTCACCTTTAGTCTCAGGTTGATCTTGTAACTCAGGATTTTTATCAGAACTGTAACAGAAGTGTTGAACCTCATGAAGTGATTAGAAACTGTGTTTATATCATCAGCTGATCATCTTTTTAAATCAGTGAACATCATTAAAGAATATTTCTGTTCAGTGTGAACTTCACATAAAGTTTTGTCAAATCCAGAATCTAGAAGTCTCCATGTTCACATTTACCTGTTGTTCCTTTGTCCTGCTCCTTTAGTTTCATCCATGTTTTCTGGTGTGTCAGTCTTGTGATCAGTGTTGCTGGACTGGATCTGATTTTCTTCTTGAGCAGGGTGGTCTGTCATGTCTGCTGAAGCTTTCTCTGTGTTCTCACTCAGATCTTCTTTCTGTGGCTGCACAGGTTCAGGTGAAGACTCGTCCTCTATGATCATTAAAGACATGTTGTGTTTTATTCTTTGATAAAAACTCTGAAGTCTGCTGCACATGTGACCTCATTTATTTCTACTTTGTAAATTATGTTCTTCAAATAAAGACCTCAGCTTGGCATTGTTCCCACACAAACACACACACTAACAGTTTGATGTAATCACTGCATAAACACACATAAACACATACACTTTTGAAAATATGGTGACAAACTACGTTTAAAGTTTGTGTCTCACCTTTAGTCTCAGGTTGATCTTTTAACTCAGGATTTTCAGCAGAACTGTAACATAAGAGTTGAACCTCGTGAAGTGATGCAGTAACTGTGTTTATATCATCAGCTGATCTTTTGTTATCACAGTAATAAAAAACATTTGTGTTCAGTGTGAATTTGAAACAAAGTTACATTAACTCCAGAATCTAGAAGTCTCCATGTTCACATTTACCTGTTGTTCCTTTGTCCTGCTTCTTTAGTTTCATCCATGTTTTCTGGTGTGTCAGTCTTGTGATCAGTGTTGTTGGACTGGATCTGATTTTCTTCTTGATCAGGGTGGTCTGTCATGTCTGCTGAAGCTTTCTCTGTGTTCTCACTCAGATCTTCTTTCTGTAGCTGCACAGGTTCAGGTGAAGACTCGTCCTCTATGATCATTAAAGACATGTTATGGTGTGATTCTTAGATAAAACCTCGTTTGTCATCACATTGTGTTTTAAAGTCTGATGCACGTGTAAACCAATTTCTTTGAATCTCAACATTTGTGAATCATTTTCTTCACATAAGGATTTCAGTGTGGGATTTCTTCTGTGGTTCTAAATGTCGCAGAACAAAAAGTTCACATTTAAAATCTCACACAAACACACACATCCTGGTCCAAATTATTCACATATGGGTTTTCGGAGCCCTCCTTTTCACATTTTTGGCTCAGTTTGAACTTATGACTCCACACACACACACACACACACACACACACACACACACACACACACACACACACACACACACACACACACACACACACACACACACACACACCTGAAGTATGAAGACAAACTGCTGTATAAGTTTGTGTCTCACCTTTAGTCTCAGGTTGATCTTGTAACTCAGGATTTTTATCAGAACTGTAACAGAAGTGTTGAACCTCATGAAGTGATTAGAAACTGTGTTTATATCATCAGCTGATCATCTTTTTAAATCAGTGAACATCATTAAAGAATATTTCTGTTCAGTGTGAACTTCACATAAAGTTTTGTCAAATCCAGAATCTAGAAGTCTCCATGTTCACATTTACCTGTTGTTCCTTTGTCCTGCTCCTTTAGTTTCATCCATGTTTTCTGGTGTGTCAGTCTTGTGATCAGTGTTGCTGGACTGGATCTGATTTTCTTCTTGATCAGGGTGGTCTGTCATGTCTGCTGAAACTTTCTCTGTGTTCTCACTCAGATCTTCTTTCTGTGGCTGCACAGGTTCAGGTGAAGACTCGTCCTCTATGATCATTAAAGACATGTTGTGTTTTATTCTTTGATAAAAACTCTCTGAAGTCTGCTGCACATGTGACCTCATTTATTTCTACTTTGTAAATTATGTTCTTCAAATAAAGACCTCAGCTTGGCATTGTTCCCACACAAACACACATACTAACAGTTTGATGTAATCACTGCATAAACACACATAAACACATACACTTTTGAAAATATGGTGACAAACTACGTTTAAAGTTTGTGTCTCACCTTTAGTCTCAGGTTGATCTTTTAACTCAGGATTTTCAGCAGAACTGTAACATAAGAGTTGAACCTCGTGAAGTGATGCAGTAACTGTGTTTATATCATCAGCTGATCTTTTGTTATCACAGTAATAAAAAACATTTGTGTTCAGTGTGAATTTGAAACAAAGTTACATTAACTCCAGAATCTAGAAGTCTCCATGTTCACATTTACCTGTTGTTCCTTTGTCCTGCTCCTTTAGTTTCATCCATGTTTTCTGGTGTGTCAGTCTTGTGATCAGTGTTGCTGGACTGGATCTGATTTTCTTCTTGATCAGGGTGGTCTGTCATGTCTGCTGAAGCTTTCTCTGTGTTCTCACTCAGATCTTCTTTCTGTGGCTGCACAGGTTCAGGTGAAGACTCGTCCTCTATGATCATTAAAGACATGTTATGGTGTGATTCTTAGATAAAACTCATCACATTGTGTTTTAAAATCTGCTGTGGATGTAAGCAGATGTTTTCATGTCCTTAAGAAAAAGGTTTTCTTTTTCTTTTTACAGGAAATTCTTGACCCATGAGTCGAGCAAAGGTTAAAACTCAACATTACTTTTTTAAAATCTGAAATTCAATTATAAACCTTTACATTTAAAAATATTTTCCCGCTATTCACATACGTATTAATACAAAGCAAAGATTGTGATGTTAATGTGAATACAAACTTTTTATTACAACTCACTCTGAGACATGGTTCCTCAATCCAGAGACGGAAGACCTGTGCGGTGTCTCCAAGCTCTGCTGCTCTGTGTCTCTGTTATATGAACCTGTTATGCAAATACTGAAGGTGTGCCTATTGTAAAACCGCTCATAAAGAACGTTTTGAAAAGAGGCTCTAACATTCATCTCTCTCACCTGTGTAGTTAGAACAGTGAAAACAAAGTATGACATCATCTACATCAGGTATACATTATCTTTAAGCTTCTCTGTTTCTGATATTATATGAAAAGTCACATTGTCTTTATTTTCATTCATATGACATTTGAGAAATATTCAACCAAATTTTGGAATTGTGTTTCAGGGACATGTTCACGTTCATCACATGACTTGGTATTGTCACTATTTTACTAATATTATACCAGTTTAAAAACAGTCAAAATAATAACGATATTGAGAGTTAATTACACAGTACATTAAAAAACTGGAAACGATGTGTTCATGACATCCAACTCTAGCTTGTCCAATTCCACAGGGGTGTCTTACAACTCTAAAAAACCCACAAATTTTTGTTGTAAAAACAGAAACGTTCCCTCTCTTCAGTCTTCTTTCTATTTCCAAAGTGATGTTAATATGTAGTGTTTCTATATGTATTATGTATCTCATGGTAATTATTGTGCCATACTGTAATTTACTCAATGTTGGATTCAGAAAATGAAAGTTGTTTGTTTTGAAACTAGAAAAAACGCTGTTAAATCACTATGCAGGAAGTAAATTGGGAGGCTCAGCTGTCACACTTGTCATAAAGAGAAGAACGTACCTTGGATACTCTGGATGTTTTTTTGTTGTTGTTGTTGTTGTTGGTTTTTGGGGGCGGGGGGTTAACCAAAAACAACCAACTTCCCTGAGTAAAACCTACTGTGATCATCTAAAATTTGCCCCAATCAGTACTTAATCCTATCTCCAAGTAGTAAAATACAAAGAATCCACAGCATCTTAGAAAGGAACAAGGATGTTGCTCTGGGACTTTAGCAAATATGACAGAAAGTTGAATAGTGATGTGGAAAAACCTGTAACACCTAGGGGATTTCACCCCAAATATTTTTTAGTGACACTTGTGTTGATATGATCATAATGAAACACAAACATTCAGGAAGCTTTGTTAGGCAGAAATTCTTTCTTTCTTTCTTTTTTTTTCTTTTTAAGAAATGTTGGCAGCCAGAAGCAGGCACTTCTCTGCAAAGATTTTAATCAACAAAGGTGCCATTGCTTGTTTTCAATTCATGTTGACTTTGTTTTTCACCATAGACAGTTCAGTACTTCTGAGTACAGTTTCACTTCAGTATTATTTATAGATTATTTAAAATCTAATTTAAATATTTTTTTCCCACTTTTGTGAAGATAGTTCTTGAAATCTTAAAGTGTTGAAGTATCTCCAAAAAATCACAAGTGATGTGCCATCGATTAAGAAAAGTGATAAAGTAGTGACTAATATTTAAGCATTTACACTTTGAATAATAGTTTTATTAGAGTATTGCACACTACTACATGTATAATATAAGATATGCACAACATAGAAGAGCCACCTCGACGGGACAAGACTTAGTGGTTCATCTGTGTCTAAAGGACAAAGGTCAATGTTTCGAGGATGTTTACATTTTGGACCGAGAAGACAGATGGTTTGAAAGAGGAGTGCAAGAAGCCATATATGTCCACTGTGAATGACCATCTTTGAACAGAGGCGGTGGGCTGCAACATCAACTGTCTGCAATCTTATAATCCAGTTTTGAGATCCCTTTCCAGACGCCTTAACGCCCACTAAAACCTTGGCCCTTTGACCTCAGTAAATGACGATATGGTGGGGCTAGGTTTCACAATGAATTGACTGGAAACCTTTGCTCTTTGTGACCCACACCCATTTTTACACCTTGACTCGTTTGATTCGATAGAGGATCATTAGGGGGTTCATGACCCTCTTGGGGACACTGCCATAGGGTTTAAAATCTGGGACTCTCCACCATTTGCGGTTAGAACGGAAGAAGCATCTCGGATGAGACGCAAAGCATCTTCAAGAAACCTAAAGAAGTCCAGACGCTTTTCTTTCCAATCTCCTTAGACTACGATGACCTGGATGACTGAGAACCTTCACAGACATTCTGAATAAGAGTTACCATTCTGAAAAATAGTGGTTTCTAGTGTAGGCCAAAATTCTTTATAAAACTGTTGGAAAACCAGCTGGACCTGGAGTTTTATTAAAGCCTGCCTTGAAGATTGATGCCAACAATGGAAGAAAAAATATGAGAAGCAGAGGACTAAGATTCAGAACAATAATTTCTGAAAAGAAAATGAGCCACTACAGTAGACCATGTTGTTGTAAATGAAATGAGAAACCTTTTAAAAAAATGGAAACACTCTTATTATAACCCTTTTATGTGGCATAGGTAGGAGCTCAATTTCTATTTTTATTACAAAGTTGTAATGCAGCCACATGAGGTTGGAAAGTTTAAAGTATTAGTGAAGGGAAAGAATGACTCAGGAGTACTGAACTGTGTGGACCAAAGAACAAGATAAATATCAAGTGAAGCCAAGCAATGACAGTTTTATTGATTAAATCGTTTACAGGGAACTTCCTGCTTTTCTGACATTTCTTTCAGAGTATTTCCTTCTATCGAACCTTCCTGGATGTTTGTGATTCATTGTGTGCTCATCAACACAAGCGTCACTGAAAACATATACATAAGACACTAGTGGGTTTCCACCTACAAGTGTTACAGGTATTTCAACATCAGTATCCAACTTTCTGTCACATTTGTCCCAGCCTTATGGCAGCAGCCTTATTCCATTTGAGGAAGCTCTGGACTGTCATGATGGCGTTAAGAGAGTGTCAAGTCAAGTCAACTTTATTTATATAGCACAGTGCTGAACAGAGGGATAGTATGATCAAATTAAAAGAATTAAAATAGATAAGATAAAAAAAACATTTTCAAATGTAATGTATAATGTATAAAACAAAATCCCTTCAAGCTTCAACCTCGGGTCCTCTACCAGAGGCCTGGGAGCTCGAGGGTCCTGTACAGTATCTTAGCTGTTCCCAGGACTGCGCTCTTCTGGACAGAGATCTCAGATGTTGTTCCCGGGATCTGCTGGAGCCACTCGCCGAGCTTGGGGGTCACTGCATCGAGCGCTCCAATTACCTCTGGGTCACCCTCCAATTCTTCTCCAGCTCTTCTCTGAGCCCTTGGTACTTTTCCAGCTTCTCGTGTTCCTTCTTGCTGATGTTGCTGTCATTCAGTATCACTACATCGATCACTACGGCCGTCTTCTTCTGTTTGTCTACCACCACTATGTCCGGTTGGTTAGCCACCACCATTTTGTCCGTCTGTATCTGGAAGTCCCACAGGATCTTAGCTCGGTCATTCTCCACCACCCTTGGGGGCGTCTCCCATTTTGACCTCGGGACTTCCAGGTTGTACTCGGCACAGATGTTCCTGTACACTAAGCCGGCCACTTGGTTGTGGCGTTCCATGTATGCCTTGCCTGCTAGCATCTTGCACCCTGCTGTTATGTGCTGGATTGTCTCTGGGGCATCTTTACACAGCCTGCACCTGGGGTCTTGCCTGGTGTGATAGACCCCAGCCTCTATGGATCTTGTACTCAGAGCTTGTTCTTGTGCTGCCATGATTAGTGCCTCTGTGCTGTCTTTCAGTCCAGCTTTGTCCAGCCACTGGTAGGATTTCTGGATATCAGCCACCTCCTCTATCTGCCGGTGGTACATACCGTGCAGGGGCCTGTCCTTCCATGATGGTTCCTCGTCTCCCTCCTCTTTCTTGAGTTTCTGCTGCCTGAGGTATTCACTGAGCACTCGGTCATTTGGGGCCATCTTCATGATGTATTCTTGGATGTTCGTTGTCTCATCCTGGACTGTGGTGCTGACACTCACTAGTCCCCGGCCTCCTTCCTTCCGTTTAGCGTACAGCCTCAGGGTGCTGAACTTGGGGTGAAACCCTCCATGCATGGTAAGGAGCTTTCTTGTCTGTGTGCATGTCTGAAGTTTAGTCTCCGACAAGTGAAATGTTCAGCTGGGTTAAGATCA